CTCCCTTCCTCTCTCTCTAAAATCAATTTTAAAAACATTAAAAAAAAAGTATTATATAAAATAAATCAACAAAAACGTTCTATTTACCAGACTTTCCAGCAGAAGCTTGACATATACTTTGCAAAATCAGCTTTTAACCTTGGTAAAGCAATTAAAAAGTGATACTCAATAATTTTGTTACACAAATCAATTTATCTTTGGAAAGATAAATATTTAAAACTAATGGCTACATCAAAATTAAAAACTTCTGCACAGCAAAAGAAACCATCAACAGAATGAAAAGGCATCCCACTGTATGAGAGAACATATTTGCCAATGATACATCTGATAAGGGGTTAATTTCCAAAATATATAACAAACTCATATAACTTAACAAAAGGAAGACAAACAATCCAATTAAAAAATGGGCAAAGGACCTGAATAGACACTTCTTCAAAGAGGACATACAGATGGCCAAGAAACATAAGAAAAAATGCTCAAAGCCACTAATCAGAGAGATGCAAATCAAAACTGCAATAGGTATCACCTCACACCTGCCAGAATGGCCACCATCAACAAATCAACAAACTACAAGTGCTGGAGAGGATGTGGAGAAAGGGGAACCCTAGTACACTGCTGATAGGAACGCAGGCTGGGGCAGCCACTATGAAAAACAGTATGAATGTTCTTCAAAAAATTAAAAATGGAAGTGCCATTTGACCCAGTCATCCCACTTCTAGGAATATATCCTAAGAATCCTGAAACACTAATCAGAAAAAAATATATGCACCCTTATGTTCATATCAGAGCTATTTACAATAGCTAAGATCTAGAAACAGCCCAAGGGCCATCAGTAGATGAGTGGATAAAAAAGTTGTGGTACATTTACACTATGGAATACTACGCAGCTGTAAAAAAGAAAGGATCTCTTACCCTTTGAGGCAGCACGGAGACTATTACACTAAATGAAATAAGCCAGTTAGAGAAAGACAAATACCACATGATCTCACTTATAGGCGGAATCTAATGAACAAAATAAACTAACAAACAAAATAGATCCAGAAACATGTAAGCATGGAACAAACTGATGAATCTCAGAGGGAAGGGGGGGCAGAAGATTAACCTAAGACCTTATGCATAACNCATAGAAGCATGAACAGACTGATGAATCTCAGTGGGATGGTGGGGGAGTCGGTGGGGAGAAATTAATCAGAGAACTTCTATGCATAGATGCATAACCCATGGGCACAGACAATAGTGTGGTGAAGGGAGGGTATCAATTGGGGGGAAAAGAGGGGGATATCTGTAATACTTCCAACAATAAAAACAAATTTTTAAAAATAATAAAAATAATGGCTACAAAGACTTTCAACTCTCAACTCCCTGCAAACCTACTTAAAGGGTTCTTCTCTGTTCTCTTATCCCTTGTGATAAAGACCAGCATTTTTAATTTCAAGAAAATCACACTGGTGCTTTGTTTCTTCAGTTAAAGTAAATGACATGATTATATTTGGGCTGTTTATTAATGAGCTCCATATGAACTCATTAACTTTCATGTAATTTACTTTGTAATGCAGCTCATTATTGAATTACCTATTTCTTGTTTTAAAAAACTAAACATATGCCCTGGCTCAGTGGTTAGAGTGTCAGCCTGTGGACTGAAGGGTCCCAGGTTTGATTCCAGCCAAGGGCACATACCTGGGTTGCAGGCTCCATCCCAGCCCTGGTCAGGGCATGTTTTGGAGGCAACCAATTGATGTTTCTCTCTCCCTCTTTCTCCTTTCCACTCTCAATGGAAAAAATATCCTCAGGTGAGGATTTAAAAAAAGAAAACAAACAAACAAAAATAACTAAACATAAAATCAACATATAAGTGGGTAAAGAGAGATTCATCTGCGTTATCCATATTCATGTCTGCTGTCAGTGCCATATGAGGGATCACTTCCTAAATTCATCTAAATACTGTAAGAGACATTTTATTGCTGGCAATGCTATCTGAATTGCCAAACAAGCCCCCACAAAAAGGTACCATTAATGAGCACAACTTAGGTATCAGTGATATCATAAATTATCAATTCATTCATTCATTCAACAAATAGTGCCAAGCACTGTGCTAAGTGCCAGAAGTATAATGATGAACAAAATAATTCCTGCTCTCATAAAGCTTACTGTATGGTAAGTGGAACAAATATCAAATCATCATATAATGGAGTATAATTACAAAGCGAGGCAAAGGTTATAATGGAAAAACCACAGTGTAGTCAAGTAAAAGAATCTGATCTAAATGGACACTGGCATGAGAGAGAGCTACTCTAAGGAAGTGATGCTTGAGCTGGGGGGGGTGGTGGTGGGGTGGTGGGGTGTGTGTGTGTGTGTGTGTGTATGTATATATATATAGAGAGAGAGAGAGAGAGAGAGAGGGAGAGAGGGAGAGAGGGAGAGAGAGAGAGAGAGACATGTGAATCCTCAGGCTGAGGGAACAGCATGTGAAAGGGCTTGGGGTTAAGGTAAGCAGCAGTGTCAAGGAAGTTAGAGCACAGGGGATTAGGGGTACAGGGATAAGAAAATGATGGAACATCTTAGAAAGGTTTTAAAACAGGTAGCTGGAAAAGAGGCTCCACAATTACATCAGTCTTAGTGGGGCTTGAACAACGTAATGCTTGTAAGAGTTTTGTAAATTGTAAAGCACCCCATACTTTTTGTTAGTACTATTAGTTCCACTACTTTGTTTTCTAAATAAATTTTTTGTCTGGATGCCAATTAACAACCAAAAGCAGAAGAGCCAAAACTAGAACCCCAGTGTTCTAATCTAGTGTTTTTCCCCTATACCACACTGACTAAAAATGTCACTATTTATATCCTTTAACTAGTCCAATATCTTTATCAGACAGCTAGTGCTTCATGACAATAATTATGAGTATTTACTATGTGCAAGGTGCTGTTGTTCTAAGCTCTTTATTTACATTAACTCATTTAACCCTCAATTCTAAAAGGAAGGTTCTATTATTGTCCAGATGAGGACACTAAGGCTCAAAAAAGTAACTTACCCAAAGTCACACAGCTAATAAATGTTGGCACTGTTAACCAACACACTAATTAGCTTTTGCTTCAGCTTTTGCTTAAAACATTTTGTATATGTATATATGCATATATGTATGCATATGTATGGGTGGTGAGAGGAAGAAAACAGAACTGCATAGAACCACAATCACATATACTTGAGGACATAGATCAGTATTTTAATCATCTCTGTATTCCCAGTCTAGCACCTAGTTCCTGGAGTATTCCTGGGGCTCAGCAAATACTTGATCACGTGAAGATGAATATAAGGGGCTGACAAAGGATTTGCACCTGTGATTTTCTGAGGCTTTTCTCTCAAGTCATATACTCATCAGCAATTCATTTGATGGCTATATTTTCCTTGACTTTCTTTTTTATTGTTAAGTTGAAGATTTATTGTTACCTTTGTCATATTTCATAGACTTCAGCCTGAAAATAGAGTGGAATAATGGAAAGAACGAAGTAGTCCCAAACAATCTCCAGCCAACAACTGGTCTGTTCTCAATCACACCAAAAGCTTTTCCTCCTGGGACTTTACACTTGTGGTTCTCATTTTCTATCCTCCTGCCTTCCTTCGGTTCCTCCGTTCAAACATAACTTCTTTACAGAGGCCTTCTCTGATCACCTAATGTAAATTCGTCTCCTCATGCCTTCTTTAATAATCCAGTTTCATTTCTTCTCTGGAATTTGCCATTGTCCGAAATCATCTAATTGTCTGTTCATCTCCATCCCCAATTCTAGGAAGGCAGAGGCCTTGTCTAGCTGGTTCTCTGGATGTATCCCCAGTGCCCCAACCTAAGCAAATAAGAATTTAGTCAACGAACGAGAAGAGAATTACCTGATTCACCTGTGTTCTCTCAAACCCTCAATATACTTAGGCTTTCCACTCCCGGTGCTTCTAAATCCAATTTTCAACAACACCACCATTTTTACATTACTTTGGGGTTCACAAAGTAGCCTGGACTCCATTTTCTGAGTAGCACTCAACGATCCTGAGAAGGAAGGTCCGGCCTAGCAAAGACGCCCATTCTCTACATTTTACAATCTATGAAATTGAGCCGAAGAGAATTAGCCCGCGGCTGCGCCGGAAATACGGAAAGGGCCCTGAAAAATGTCCAGATCCCGAAGTCTTTCCCAGGAGTGAGCGACGTGGATTCAAGATGCTTAGCCACCTTTATTACTATTGTTCTCCATTACTCATCTTCGACGCGTTCCAGGCAGGGGTAAGCCGCCCGGCCCCTAGCAGGGTCCCGGTGCACCCCACACTCCAGCCCCGGCCGCGCCCCCCAAGACCCCAAAGCCCTTGAAGCCACGCCCGGCCTCTGCTCCCTCCCCAAAAGGACTCCCCGCGGGGACCGCCCTCTCCTGCCCGGGCCAATCAGCAGAACGTCGGAGGGCGGAGCAGCAGGTCCCGGCCCCCCCGTCTGGGCATCAATTGGTCGGCAAAGCCGTCGCTCACGAGGTCGCACTCCGTACCCGCCTTCCACCCTCCCCTTCAAAAAAAACGGCGGTTGGGCAGCGGCGGCCGCCAACGGCACACGAGGAGCCGAGGGGCGAGGAGCCGGGGAGTGAGGGAAGGAGGGACTGCAGGGAGGAGGAGGAGGTTGACAAGGAGGAGGAGGGGAGCTCGGCCCAGCCAGAGCCATCTCCATCGAGCACAAAATGGCGGCGCTGGCGAA